ATATCAATTATTAAATTATTTAGTTTTACCATTTAAAGCCATGTGATTTTTACTAATTCTCTAACTTTTAATTTGGGTTTATTTTATATATATAAGAAGCCCAAGAATAACATTCCTACTAATGGTACGGTTCCTCGACAACTATTAATGCTTCCCTTGGTACCTGAATTTTCAATGAATTATATGACACACAATCAAGGGGTGCCAATTATTCCTGGATAGGCTCAAGTCACTCATTATGCTCAACTTCTTATGTTCAATTTCATTGAAAATGTTCAATGAAATTGAACATTGTTATGACCAATTTCATTCTTATGTTCAACTTCCACTTGTAGTAGCTACACCCCAACCTTTTCAGGTTTATTTGAACCTTGTTTTAACCAGTCATTCTAAATTTAAACTCAGTTTTAATCTAGTACATTCATTTTTTAAATCTATACTTTATGTCATGCAAAGTATTAATAGTGGGCATTGGAATAATTTGGTTCATCCAACTAATTATGGGAGTTAAAATGGCAAGTTTGGGTGCACCTTAAGCTTCTTCAATTTTATGTACTTATTTATATATGTATTACCAATGTTAGTTAATGTTGTTATTTTTATATAATGTTTCAGGTGTTAGTGATATATATGTTGAACTGTTGAAAGACACTACAAAATTAGTTCTTGGAAATTCTTTTCCTTTGAATTTAGATCGTCAAAGATGTATAATATTTTCCATTATTGATGCGTATACAACAAAAGTTGTATAGGAATTTTTGTAAGTGAAATTTGAGTTTGATTAGTTCGATCTGGAACGCTACAATCAATGACATAATTATATTGAACGAGAGAATTGTATACATTTTCTGCTTTTTTCAATGATGAATGTTTCCTGCATCTATTTATGTAAAGTGCTCTCACTATGAGAATGATCACAAGTACATGATTTAACGTCATATTTTATTTGTTGAATGAGTATGTGCTGTTTTGCACAACCTAAGGACCAACTACTTACAATCTCCTAACAATGTGTCGTATAGTTGGGGCATTGCCATTGTCATTTTTGCACATGATTTATTTAATTTGTAATTAATTAAAGCCATGTAAATTTTACAACATCTCTAAATTCGAAAGTTATGTCTGAATTAATATGTGAAGAGGAGTATGTTTCACCTCCAAAATACAGCATCAGAGATAACTATCAACCTGAGTCCATGCATCAAAGCATAGTTTTGACATACTATGAATACGTGGGTACCTAAAAAAACAGTCACTCACGAGATTAAAATTCATGCGAGACATGTGAAGACAACTTTGGTCATAATCAAGAACTTATATTCACTTCATTGTTTTTATAAATTTTCATTTAAAATGATGAATATTTCTCATTGCTACATCTATTTACGTAATGTTCTCTTACTATGACAATGACCTCAAGTGCATTAGTTAACACTTAACACCATACTATATTTATTGTATGAATATGTGATGCTTTGCACAACCTAAGGACTGAGTTACAAGATACAGAAAATGACTTGCGGAGTTGGGACATTGCCCTTGTCAATCCTTGCACGTCACTTCATTTAAGGAATCAATTAATTAATTTTATAATTAAATTTATCGCATTTTCATAACTAAAAAATTTGGGAGTAATCTTCTAATTTGATAATTAACTAGCACTTCGCAAAAAAAAGTGTAAGTCAAATTACCATATTGAAAAAAGGTGGCATTTTTCAAACTATTTCAAAATTATTCAGATGTTTTTAAGTTTCTTATATGATAATTATTTCTGACATGATCAATTCGTTTATTTTTAAAATTCCTTTTGTATGAAAAACATCTAAAATGGAGGTGGGTAGGGGTCGCAACAAGTCGGATTTATACTGGATGAAGATTTTCACGTCCACCCGTCAAATTTTGATATTTCGCCTACCCTTCCTTCATCCACTAAATATTACATCCACATCCAATCCGCCCAACATTATCGGTTATACGGTGGATCGGGTGAACATAAATTGAAAACCTTCAAAGAAAAAACCAATAAATTATAGAGGGAAATCATGACAATAAAAAAATTAAAATCATTGAATAATAACAAAGACATAATTAGTAACGTAATATTAATACAACTATGAAAAATGTATTACAGGTCTATTAATTTAAGAATTCATTTACATGAGTAGAAGTCAAGTCTTCCTAGGATACAAGTTGCGATAGAAGCAACCTAAGCATTATAAGGCCGCTGCTTTTGATCTCAAAGATAAATTGGTAGAGTCAACACAACATTCACCAGTGCACTAATCTATAAAAATCATGACAAACAAAGAAGAAATACCAGAAAAGTGGGAACTCAAAGTACCAAAAAGGGAGCCTCTCTATTAGATGAGAGCAACACAACTTCTAAGAGAACAGGAATATTGCAAGAAATTGTTGTCATATCAAGATTTTGAACTTACCTACTGTTTACTATGCATATACAGACGCACACATAAATATAACAAGTAAATTTCATATTCTACAAATCTACAATGCAAATCTATCTACAAATGTGTTCTGTCCAGCGTGCTTTGAGTCAGTGAGAGAAATTTGAACCTTAGTGAATCACGTTGTCCATACACTACTTTTCTTGACCGATAGTATCCCAAATCTAAAAAATAACCGTTGTTGAATCCTGCATGTCTAAGACAAAAAAGAAGCCCTAATAGTAATTTAAAAACCCATCAACATAAGTTTGTTTACACACTTTTCAGGTATGCTTCCCTTTCATCTAAACAAGCAAACCCTCAAATGTAACACCCAAAATAGAGCCAAAGAACCTAACCTAAGAACATGAGGGTCCAACCCTTGGGTTATGTTTATTGGTTTTTGCCGGAGCTACTCTCTTGTGTTTCATTGTAAGTGAAAATTATAGAGAATACAACTTTGCTAGTTTTAAGTGATTTATATTTTATGAATATATTTACAATTGATTCTAAGTATCAAATATTTTTGAGATTATTAGATATCTATTAATTATATAAATCCACAACATTATAAGATTTTATTTTGTATTTCTATACTTATAGTGAACATTATTTACAACTCAAAAAAGGCAATAACACAGCTCCTTGTGCAATTCAAGAGGAAGAAGAGCATGTCTCTCCACCAAAATACTACATTAAAGAAAGCTCTCAATCGGGGCCCGCACAACAAAGTGGAGAGAAAACTATGAAAGAGCTTAATAGTATGAAATCAGTAACAAAAGATTTGATAGAAGTTGTGGACAATTTAACAAAGGTTGTGTTTAACAATGTAACACTAAGCAAACCAAAAAACCTGCAGTAGATAATTGAAATAGAAAAGAAGCTAGGTTCTTTAATTGATAGGTTATCAAAAAGAAAATTTCTCATGTAAAGCATAATGAGGAGCTTAAAAAGGAAATTATGAAAAGATATGAAAGCGTTGGTGACTCAAAGAACTTAGTGACTTTTCAGCCAATTGTTAATGAGAAGTATCAAGGCCGAACTAATGAAAAGATACTGGAATACTCATACCAGTTAGAAGCGCAGTTATCTTCAAGAATTCATTTGAATGCCTTCCCGATTGAAGTTTTAGCTGAAATTTGGTATTAGTAAACTAGACTTGATGAATAAGATGCTCAAAAATTTTCATCAAAAAATTCCAACGGGAACCACCCCAAATGACGACGGCCGGACAGAGCCTCCTAAATAAGGGCTTATTTGACCTTTTTTGGTTAGTACATGGGCCTATTTGCACCTTTTCCCTATGGATCGATATCATGAATCGATTCATGTTAGCCGACCGCGAATGCTTTTGGGATTAAGGCTTGGATGTTGTTGAAACTTAGCATCTATGAAAATGTAATTAACATTCTTCATTTGTATTTGTGAAACAATTAATATTGCATTGGCCTACAAAAATAATTGCAATAATTCTAATTTGATTTTTTTCACTTTGACTATTAGCATTGGCTATTACTATCAGTAAAAGTTGCAGTGTTTAAAAAGTCATACAAAGTATTTTTATAATTTTAATTCAGGACAATTATTACAATGTTTTGTATAAGATGTTTTTTGGACTGTTTTCAGTCTCAGGCCAGACTAGACAAGACCAGATCAGACCATATCGGGCTTAAACAAATCATGCTAGACTTAAATAGATCATACAAAACCAGATCAGACTTGGACAATTATAAAATACATAGATCAGACATCAACTAAACCAGACCAAACTTACACAGACCAGACCAACAAATTTCATTTCAAAAGAAAATATCCTAAGAAAATTGCTCAATACACCTAATTAATAATATAATAAAGTTAAAATAGAGTGTGTGAATAGTAAAAGTCATTGCAATATGTTAATAATAAAATCGTGCGATGACAAACAACAAATTAAGAACGCTGCAATTATATGGGCCGAGGGTAACATTACTTATTTTACAATGAAAGTTTAAAATATTAATTGTATCCTCACAAACGCTAAAATATTTAAAATTGTGAAATTAATTCCATAATATCACACTTTTGAAAGAAAAATATATGATTTTGATACTAATTTTATACACACCTCACACTCTTTTAAAAGTTTCATATATTTAGAGCCTATTTGGTAACACCCATATCGACTGTATTTGTTGATTTTGTTGAAATTTATGATGTTCTGATTGAAGTGGCTGAATTGGCTGATTCTGCTGATTTCTTAAAAAATTATATTCAAAATATATGTTATTAATAAAATAAAGAAAAAATTATATGAAAAATTAACAAATATAATTGTCTACAGTAATTTCAGCCAATACAATTAGAGAAGTAACTTCAATCTCACTTTTTCTTATTATTGCACAATTTATTGCACTAAATAAAAAAGTTAAACGTTTGATTAAAAATTAGCGGATAAGCTTGATTAACCGGAAAAAGTGTATGGGCTCTTAATTTGTTTCCCAATAAGGAATTCAATTTGCCGCACAATTTTTCATTCTCAAAATTATTTTACTTTCCCGCCTCTCGAGACTCCCGCCAACTGAACATCTCCGCTGTCACTAACACCCAGCTCCTCCATTGCTACCTCTCTTCGTCTGTTCCTCGGCGATTTCACATCAAGACCCTGCATTTTAAACCTCGTCTCAGGTCTTCACATTGGTATTTTAGTTCTACTCGAGCGCGAATGGAGGGCTCAAGGAATAAATCCTTTTTCCAAGACATCAGATCTAGGGAGCTCAACGGATTCAGAGGTACCTCTTAACCCTAAATCTATGAATTCCTCACCAGCTCATATAAACATTTTTTTAATTCTTTTGTGTTTTCTCTGATGTTTTTTTGGATCTCAGTGAAAAAGAGACCATTTGAAAGTACCGAGTCCGCACAGTTCAGTGAATTAGGAGCTGTCTCGGTTGAGCATGATGGTCAGACATCACCCCCCATGGCTCTCTCTTTCTGCAAGGTCTATTACCGCCTTCCCGAAACAGAAAATTAGTATTTGTATCTTATACTGGTGGATTTGTTAAACCCAATATTTTTTTTATGTGTAAGCAGACAAGCAGAAATTGCCATATAATTGCTGTTTCTGATGAGGGTGGTTATATTAGCTTGTATAATACACGCTCCAAGTTTCTGTCTTCTTCCACTAACCAGGGAAATGCAGGTATACCCGAGCCTCAATTTCCCATTATGAATTAGGGTTTTCATGTAATTGTTTGCAATAGCCTCAATTAATTATTAAATATAATTTTTTTCAGAACGGGCAAAGATTTCTGAATGGGTTGCACATGAAAATGCTATATTCGACATATGTTGGATCCAGGTATCATATCAGCCTATCTGCGTTGTACTAGTAAGGACTATCATTTTCTTGCATTTTCCCAAACCAATGTCCCCACTTACACTCCACCTCATACATTTTCCATTAGTCAGTGTTACATTACCTTAGTGTCGACAGTACGAGGAAATTTGATATTGAAACATGTGAGTTTTAGTGATGAGTCAAGCATAAATTGTTAATGTCAGTGTAATGCCCTGCCTCTTTATTCTCTGATATCTGAGTGTGTGTGAATTTCATATTCAGGATTTAATCACAATGTAGATCTGACATAAAGTAATTTTGATAATTGATAAGCATTACTAGTCAGAATAACAACAAAATTTAATACCCTGCAGGAAGACAGCAACATAGTAACAGCTTCAGGTGATCAAAGTGTAAGCATCTCTTCTCCAACTTATTTTTGTCTCTCATTCTTAAATCACATTTCACATTACATTTTTCCCCTCTATTGACATTATATGTTAAGTCAATTTGATTGCAATTTGCAAATGACATGTTGTACGATATGTATAAATGCTTTTTACAAAAATAATCCAACCACACATTTAGTATACAATGTTGGTTACATTATTCTATAAACATTGAAAACTTAGAAGAAACTGTACTTGACAAATTTCACAGATAAAAGTATGGGATGCAAAGGAACAGAAATGTGTAAGTGCATTGATGGGCCACACTGGAAGTGTGAAATCTCTTTGTGTTCATCCTACAAATCACAGTATGCTTCTACTTTTGCTCGAGCCAATTAAAATTTCAACTTTCACTCTAAAGGATTTTCCTGTGTTGTACACTCACATTTTTGTGTCTTCCGGCAGATGTAATTGTATCTGGCTCACGAGATGGGTCTTTTGCTCTATGGGATTTGAGGTGCAATAACAACAGTAACCAGAGACTTTGTAAACCGTAAGCACTAATTCTGCTAACTGTCAAGTGAACAAGGGCGCTGAATTATGAATATTGAATAATAATAGTAATAATGATCTATACAAATGTATATCATAAATTCCTAATTCATCTTGTTGTATGTTACTATTGAACAATCAAATTCAGGAAATTCTATAGTTTGAAAAGATAAACACATTTTAAATCTTTTTATTGCATGGCTCATGTGCCACCCCAGATGAATTGAACATTTGAACTGAATTTTCTATTTTGTTCAGGCCAATTGCTATGGTGCGTCAGGCTCATGCTTCTCCTTCTCAAAGGAGGAGCAGACATAAAAAGGTTTGGAATGACAATATTGTTTACATGATAATGTGATTGAGTACATTCATATGTTCACCAACATGATCTCATTCTAAACTGCCTAAGTTATTTCAGGCTTCTTCTATGAGCATCACCTCTGTTTTGCATTTAAAAGATGAGATTTCCATTGCTACTGCAGGAGCAGTTGACAGGTGCCGCAGATCTTTAGCAATGATATTTACGTAATTTGGCAATTAACACATCACAAAGAATGTGATAATGTGATTTCCCTTTTGAATTAACCACATTTTATCCTTTTAAATTCCAGTATAATAAAGTTATGGGACACAAGGAATCTGAAATCTCCTTTCAGTCAAGCATGCCCTCATCCAGATGTATCAGCTGAGAAGGTAAGTGAATAGATCTACCATTACCTTGAAACACAGTGTATTTTTGGAAGCAATAGTTACCAATTATCTTTCCTTGTTCAGCAAAGAAAGCTGCATGGCATATCTAGTTTATCTCAAGATTTAAATGGAGTGTTTATCTCTGCAACTTGCATGGACAGCAGGTACTGTATCTTGAAACATGAATTGTCTGCTTTTAGTATGACCTTTTTGGATTTAGTTTTTTTAATGCTTAAATTTCAGGTGTTCATTTTTTTTATAATTCCTTCTTTAGTTGCCTACACAGTCCCAAATTTCACTAGCTCCCTTCTCCTGATAATAGATCTTTAAGCAGAAACCTATTCATAAATTCATCACATGTTTGTTTTACTTATATTCTGAAGCCTTTGCCCTTTCAGAATATACCTATATAACGTACTTCAGCCAGAGCGAGGGCCAGTGAAGAGCTTCTCCGGATGCCGAATCAATTCATTCTTTGTGAAGGTAGGTGATTGTTACTCTTGGTTCTTACTTCTTAGACTATTAACTGCTTTATATTCTAAAGAGCTTGCCATAAATTTATGTGATCACAGTCATCAATAAGCCCTGATGCAGCACACATCTTAAGTGGCTCTAGTGATGGGAATGCATACATATGGCAGGTAACTGTTGTCATTCTAAACATTCCACAAATAATTTGTTTATGTGAATATTAATTAATTAATAGATTTTTTTTTTTAAATACAGATAAGGAATCCTCAAGCAGATCCCATTATATTGAGTAGTCATGAAGGAGAAGTTACTGTGGTAGATTGGTACGTCTTCTGGGATATTATTGTATTCGGTAGTCTCTTTGTTTACACACATATTAACAAACTGCACTATACTATTATACTACAGGTGCCCATCTGAGACTGGGAAAATAGCAACAGCATCAGATGATTTCACGGTAAGATAGGTAGAGATGTAAACAAATGAAGTATATTCAACCATGTTATAAGTTTTGCACAATCAGTAAAAAATGATTACCATTTGGCATTCCCTACTTATATTTTCCCAGGCCCGCATTTGGAATATCCAAAGCAGTTGTTACTCCAACACAAGATCTCCTTCATCCATTCGAAGGAGAATAATGGCACCATCAGGTGCTGAATGTCGGAAGCTGAAACTGTTTCCTGATGAAAAAACAGATTGCACCAGAAATGATCTCGACGCTTGCCATTTAGATGTAGTGACATGCGATTTCAATTCCCCTCGTGGGATAGTTGGTGTCTCAGAAATATGTACTCCAGAGTCTCAGAAAAGGAAGTATTTGGCATTGGATTATGAGATAAAAGACAACATGGAAAAAACTCCAGAAGCTTCAACCAGGAGCCCTTCTTCTGTTCTGAATCTCCCATCTTCTCTAAAGAAGAAAACAATCAGGGATTACTTTCTTACAACCCCATCGTCCTCATTCTAATTCTACCGGTTGCGTTACATGTAAAAAAAGCGATTCAAGTCTGCTTATTTTTTGTATCACACACTCCTGAATGGCAGATTAGCACTGTAATATATTAACCCAAGGTTTTGGAAGATCCACTTCTATTCAGTTTTAGATTGGAAACAAGGACTCTAGTTTTAGATTTTCATAGTTGTATAGATTATGTTGAGTTGGATCAATCCATACAGTTGGAAAATGAAAGATTGGATTGGAAGTTGGGAAGACTTGACGTACAGACTAAAACCTAAATATTCAAACAATGAAAAATTTGGGGCACTTTCCATATCACCCTGTTTTCGATTTTTAGTTTTATGCTTATAAAAGTTGTGGGGTATATAATATAAGTTGTCTAATAAACCAAAAAGTATTCATACTTATCTAATGTAAGATTAGTTTTTTTTTTTATTTTGTTTACATGATATTGCTTTTGGTTTTCAAAATGCAGAAAACCAAAAATATGAATTGATATTGAACATGCTCTTAGCTAAACGATTGCCTTGTTTGTGATAAGAAGTTTTGAGTTTGGTTGTGAATTAGTATGTTGACACAGTGGTTTGAAGCCCATTTGGTAAAATCTAAAACTATGTGTGTTGAGATTTGAGAAGGCGCAACAGCAGAAGTACAAAACAATTCCATCTCTTGGTCTCATATGGTCTGCTTCATTATTTCCCCTTTTGTGGATAGACATTAAACTTCTCTAGTTTTTTTAATCTTTTCTTTATTCTAAAGTACAAGGTATGAATTTTAACTTCTTTGCAATAAGCTTACCTAACTTAATAAGAAATCTATTTTTTAAAATTACATATAACTAAGAGTTAAAATTATAAAAAACGTTCAAATATAACACCTTGTTCCCAAATAGGTATACCATTATTGACCATGTGTTTGATAACATACGTGGACCATACATTTTTGCACCTTGAGTGGACTTCCATCATCCAGGTAGTGTGATTGTGTGAAATAGATAATATATTAATGAATCTTGGTTCAAGAGCAATTGAACTTCACAGTTCTCTCAAACATATTAGTTGGGAATAGATTATGATTCGGAAATTTCCGAAATATAAGTAAAAAGAATGCGATTCTTCAAAATATTACGTTTCCCTCCAAAATACAAGTAAATTATTGCAATCCTCAAATCAGACTGCAATTTTGGTGTTACCTAATATTAATACGTCAGTGCTAAATTTGGGGAAAACATCGTACCCCGTTATGGAGTTTAACATTGTTTTTATTCCATTTTAGGGAATTTCGATTTAACAATGGTTAATAGAGTAACAAACAACAAAATAATTTGAGTGTAATCTACAATTTTAGATCAATGAGATTTCATCTATCACGTTAATGCGTATGGGAGAAGGTTTTGACTATTTGTATTTGAATGTTTTGTGTTGATGAAGTTGAGTTGTTCACTTGTTCATATCATCCATCGATCAACTTGTGCAGTTTTATGTTGGCTGGTAGAGAACTTTAGTTTTCATCATCTTCCGTGGACGTAATTATCGTAACATAATGTACAGAGAAGCACACACAGAATTTGCACAGAATTTCATTTCATGAAAAAATCAGAAGTAAGTCAATCATAAGTAAATTGAAATAATTCAGGACTGATGATGTGATTGAAATCCTGGATTTTGTGGTTGAATGAAGGACAAATTCGGACCATTTCCATAATTAAGAAGAATTGAGAAAGATGTTTCTCTAAACAATTAGCGTTTAAAAAAACAGTGTTTTTTTTTTAAAATTGTGTCTCTAAGATTAGTTTTCCTTTTTTTCTTTTCGTGAGATTTTGTGAAGGAAAATAGTGTCTTTTTTTTAAAAAAGACTATGGAGTACAATATTAGTAAATTATTGTACTCCGTAACATTGTGAAATTTTTTTCTAGCAACATTGTGAAATTTCATAACGCAATGTCGTAATCTATTGCATTTTACATTTAGTTGTGTACTAATATGCAATAATTTCTAAATTTAAACATGTAGATTTAGAACTCGTTTGGTGACTTTGTTTTTTCGGCTTATCAATCTTATCAGTCATTTTTTCACCAAACTTGTAATTTTTTATTGGAAAAATTGATAGTAATAATCCCAACTATTGGCGGTCCGCTTATAATAATCCCAACTATTGATTATTTCAGAATAATCCCAACTTTAGGGACCTTCTGCCAATAATGGTCCCTAAGAATAAATTCTTGTAGTTTCTAAAGTGCATGAGAAGAGATATAGCAAGTAATGCCTATAAATAATCCCACCTTTTAATTTTTACACTTAATTTCTATTTAAAATTCACTTTTTATAGGAGTTAAATCTGATCATGGACCATTATTGGCGGATGGTCCCTAAAGTTGGGATTATTCTGAAATAATCAATAGTTGGGATTATTATAAGCGGACCGCCAATAGTTGGGATTATTACTATCAATTTTTCCTTTTTTATTTCGCGTGTTGAGTTGTGTAATGATAAAAATAAATAAGGTTATTGTAATTAATTTTCTGACTGAGTTGACTGAAGTTACTGTAGATGATCATTTTAGCTATTTTTTCATATATATAATTTTCTTTATTTTTATTAATAGAATATATTTTATTTCCCCCCCATATTTCAGCAATTTACGCACTACTTTTTATAAATAATTTACGCACTACTTTTTATAAATAAAATCAGCTTGTCCCTCAACGTTGCATATTATGGACTATGGAGTACTATGAATAATAAGTCTCAATCACTTTTACTCGACTAGTCGCTTTGATTTTTGCTTAGGGGTGTTTGGAACTGATTCTGATTCTGCTTTTTTTTTTTATTAAAAGCAGAAGCAGAATCAGAATCAGTTTTCAGAAGCTGGTACCCCCCAGCTTCTAAAAAAACTGATTCTGAGAGTAAATTAGAGCTCCAGAAGTGCTTCTGGAATTTCACCCAAACACTCCAGCTTCTGCTTCTGCTCTCTGAAGGAGCAGAATCAGTTCTGAGAATCAGATCCAAACACCCCCTTAATCTATTAAAAAATGGGTCATTCTTAGTGTACACATACAATTAGGAGGGTTTTGACACTAAATTATGCACCCTTTAAATGAATTGTCTGTGCACAGACAATTAGAGAGGTTTTGTGTACACTTTGCGTATAACTCATGTACACTAAGAATTTTTGTTAAAAAATTGCTCTAACTATCACGAGTGATATGTTCTTTCGTAAATAGGAATAAGTAAGAAAAATGCGTGATCAACACGTTTTTTGTGTACACCTTTCATACATTTATCTGTCTCGCGCACACAGAATTGTCTGTACACAGACAACTCTATAGGGCCCTGTTGAGTTGTCTGTGTATAGACAATTCTGTGTGCGTTAGATAGACAAGTGTACGAAAGGTGTACACCAAAAAGTGTACACCAAGCATGTTTCAATAAGTAATGTCATCTTAAGATTACACTCTTACTAATTAAATTGAAAATTTGACATATACCCGTATATACTCCGTAACGTGTATCCATCTATGATTTTAGCAGAGTGCGCAATAGACTCGAGCTCCAACCGAATCAAATACTACTAATGCTTAAGCTCGACTCAATTACGTATTCAAACTTAAAACTCAACGGGTGTATGTCTGAGTTCAAAGCTCATTGTATTCACCTCAATAGGTTCAAAACTATGCTCAAATAGTTCAAAAAAAGCTCGGTTCATGAACATGCGCGCAATAGATAGAATGTATATATAATCTTGTGCAAAGTCGGGTGCAAAGTTATATACCCTTGGCCAAAAGGAATGAATTAACTAGATATAGGATGTCGTCAAAGTATGTAAAGTGCTTGTAATTTCATCATCTAGAGTAATACGGAGGATTTGGTACGACGTAAGCATTGTTTGGTGGGATTTCAATATCAAGTTTTAGTTGTACCAAATTGCGACGCGGACCTGAAACCTTTGATCAAGGCGTTGCATTTACAAGCTAAGCCCAATTTTTCCCTTCATATTCCTATGGTTTTACGTCACAAATAAGATGAAATTTGTTTACCATGCATGTTATTAGTTATGGAGTATTTGGAAGATTGAATCGAAACTAAATGGATTGTTTGGATTGGAGAATATTGTGCGAGGCTCGATAAAGTTCTTGAAAGTGAAATATTACATGAATGAAGTAAACTCGTTCGATTACATGATGAAAAAACGTCCTGAAAATGTGAAATTGCATTTAACAAAAGCATATTTAGCCAATAAAAATTGATTAACAAGAGGCCAAATTAACATAAGCTTACGTGAGATTGAAATCAATTTATGATGTAATTACTTGGATAGAAATTTTCTGATGGTTTGATATGATTTGGTAAATGTCGGGTCTCTATGTATTTTACAACGGTTGAAATCTGGTCTGATTTGATATGATCTGATAAAGTAAAAAATTCAATGTCATTTTTTCTTCAAAAAAATCTTTGCACCGACTCAGTGCTTTGACTCTGCCCTCGTTTGGTCTGATCTAGGACCTAAATAATTAAATTCAAGTAAAAACATCCTTACTCAACTTTAACTTTTCATCCACACACAAATACATGCAAAACCGATCATGGTGTGGACCCCCTATGAAAAATGATGACACGATTAAAAAAATGACAATGACGAACCAATGAAAAAATGAAAGACGACACGATCCACACGAAATGTATGGTCGTGAGGAGTGGTGTTTAAGTCCCACACCGGATACTTCTGAAAGAATTAAACACTATATTAAAATTTAAGTTACTTCTCCTATCAGGTTGACCTTATAGGATGAAACCTTAGATCTTAACACAATTGTTTGAAATGATTAAATTTTAATTAGTTCAAAGTTAGGTGAAATGGTCATACAAATAAACACAGCCTATATGTTTATTATAGGCTACAAACATGCTTGGATTGTTTTTTCCATATTAATTCAATTGATTAAGTTTATATACGGAGTATTACGGAGTACTACTTATTATTAGCACAAGACCGCTAAACGACAATTGTCTTTATTATATTGTTGTTTTATATTTTATTATTATATAATTTACACTTATCTTTATGTAGACAGACTTGCTGTTAGTTCAAACTCCCTTGTCTGTAACCATAAATATGTACTTAGTCGATCTTGAGATCAATTGGACAGAAAATATCACTTTGCCCCATGCTCTAATGTCGTTTCCTTGGGCTCTCAATTTTCCCAGGTCCTTTTTCTTTATCTCCCTCTCTTATTATTTTTTGTTTCTTCTCTAATGTATTGCATAATTATGAACCTCTCATAGACTCATACTTAACATATAGACCTTATTGGAGTTATTGCTTGACTTTTTTTTTTAATATTGCGATATTATAGTCCCTAATATAAATATGTTTATCGCTCTCATTTTTCTTCATCATTTCTATATTTATTTGCTGCGTTTGAATATAATTAATTTGTTATTGTTATTCTCGATCTTCTGCATGTTTTTCTCCACCAAGTTAGTGTTTAATTTAAGTAAGCTTCGGGAAACATTAGTTCCCGAATTATTTGTTTTATATACCTATGTAGTAAAAGAAGATGGCGTTGGATTTGGTGTACACCATAATGGCGTAAAGCCAAAGGCACTCCACCAAAATGGTGAAATGGTGTTGAAGATGGTGTGGCTATTGGAGCATTTTTTTTGGCAAATGCACCATTATATTTTGGTGTAGAAGTTGGTGCTTGTTGGAGTTGATCTTAGTTCCATTTCGGGATGGAGGAAATATAATGTAAGCGTAGTATAATAAATAAAAAAGTAATCATTCATATATATAATTATTAATACGGAGTATAACATTTGTTTTTTGTTTTTATTTTCAATACACAAACGAGAATTGATACTGAACAAGTGAACATGCATGCTCTTAGCTAAATGATTGCCTTCTTTCTTAGTTTGAGACTTTGAGATAAGACAGGTTTTGGGTTTGGTTGTGAAGTTGTATGTTGAAGCAGTTTGGTTTGATGCTCATCATTTGGTAAATTTAAAATTGTGACTATTGAGAAGTTACAAGTACAAAACAATTAATAACATCTATATGGGGTGTCATAATGTTTGCTTCATTATTTTCCATTTTTGGTGTGTAAATTTTATACTTTATAATTTTTTAATTTTTAATTTATTCTAAAGTACTCGTAAGAGCGTACCTGAAACTATTATTGCTACACTGAGTATATTATTGCTTTGGATAAATTATTACACGATTTTTTGAAACTGATTTTTTAAAATTTGAAGTGGGACAAAGCGGCATACATAGTATGACCTCTTACCTCTGCCTTGAGTAAGTTACAAACTTACAAGAATTGTAAGTTTGTAACTTCTTTGTGCTAAGCTTATGTAACTTAATTATTTTTTGAATGTAATTACTAGGGGCATTACAAACATTTTAATGCTTGTTCTCTCAAAAAAAATCTATGAAGCCTCGTATGACTCTGTTTAGTCTGTTATGAAATGATATGAGCATATTTATCAATAACCATTCATTTCAGGTGTGTCCACCATTGCCATATAACTCCGGAGAGTCGTGTGAGATTTCATAAAATTTCCCTCATCAAATTTGTTAGAAAGTATCACAAACAATTAATCTCAAAGTTTAGTGAACTCTTTTCATTCAGGTATTTTCCAATAGATCATATAAAGTATTAACTTCGTAGTTAATATCAAATATATCAACTTAAGGTTAAGAGATAGATCAATGAAAAGAAAAAACAATAACAAATAAAAAAGGGGTTTGAGTCTTACCTACAATGCGTACGGGAGAGGCTTTTGACTGTGTTTGTTTGAATGAATGTTTTGTGTTGATGAAGTTGAGATGTTCATATCATAAATCAACTTGTGCACTTTTATGTTGGCTGGTAGAGAACTTTAGCTTTCATCATCTTCCGTGGACGTAATTGTCGTAAAACATAATTTTATAACAAATTCAGAAGTAACTCGATCATTAGCAATTCAAAACTTAGGCCGGGCTCTTAAATCACACCGAATTATAGGTTAAAAAATAAATATAATTGTACATTCTTTGCAACATTTATGCAAATAAAACAAACCATTTACCACATTTTGAGTACCATTGCTTAAGACCAGGGACGGATCCAGGATTTTGGGTCAAGGGGGGCGAAATTTTTCGTTAATGTAGGGGGTGAAATTTTTTTTCGTTAGTGTAGTGGGACGAAATTTTTTCCCCTAGTAGGGCTATGCGGCTATTTTTATTTAAAAATGACATTAATACATATATATCCCCCAACGACATATAAATCTATTACATTCTAAATTTAGACAATGACAAAGACATCAACCAATACATTTTTAATAACTTCTATATTGTTTAATCTTATGAATCGGTTATTGAATTGTAATTTTTGTCCATCAAGGAGGGTGTTCCTGAGTCATGACTCATGAGAAGTTTTCTTAATATTACAATAGTAGTATGTATGAGATTATTATTTTTAGAATAATATGCACCACATACACACACTATATGGTGCATATTATATTTTAATATTTGTATTAATGCTATAATAATTTAAATTTTATTATCTATGCAATAAATTATTTTTAGAAAGCAAGAAGTAAATGAATTATGTAATTTAATGTCAATAAATATTTATATTTTGGATTCATTTCACGTGATCTAAAAACTGTGTAATTAGTGTGTCTGGTATTTAATATTGTTTGATATATATTTTACAAAATTGAGTACTTGTTATCTAATAAAGATAATTACACATTACAAAACTAGAAATTCTTATATAATAAGTATCCTAAATCTTAAACAACGAGTTATGTAAATTATATTAGATGTTCTTTCTTTTAAATATCCAATTAAGTATTACATTATGTAAGACTATATATTAATTTTGAAAATTAAAAGTTAAGGGGGGCGAATCTAATTAAATTATGAAAGTTTTATGAAAATATTATATATATGGTAGAATTTTTTCAAAGTCCAAGGGGGGCGGTCGCCCCCCCCGCGCCCCCCCCTAAATCCATCCCTGCTTAAGACTCAAGTTTACTTTGTAAAGATTAGCAATCCGGCCAATGAATGCCACGTGTTAGCCCACTGATCCGGTTGACCGCAATGATGAGGGTGAAAGTAAGGTTGTTAACGAGCCGAGCCCGAACACCTAAAGCTCGAGTTCGGCTCGATAAGGAATTAATGGTGTTCAGGTTCGAGCTTTACAAACGAGGCTCGTGTTCGGCTCGATAGGCGTTTGATGTTCGAACCGAGCGCTCGATAAGCTCGATAAATATGGTCGAATTTAAAATTTTAGGTGATGCTCGTTAATAGGCTCGTGCTCGAATGATTCGACAAGTATCTGGTTCGTTAATAATCATATTTAAATTCATAAAATCATACTAATTATATTTAAATTTTGATTATATATAAATTATATTTATAATTTCAGGGTGTTCGATAGGCTCGAGTTCGAACCGAGCCGGATACTACTATGTTCGAGCTCGACTCGATTAATTTTTCGAACTTAAAACTTAGCTCGGGTTCGGTTCGAAAGCTCGTTAAACTCGGCTCGTTAGATTCAAAACCGAACTCGAACTCGAATAGTTCGATAAAAGCCCGATTCGTTAACTACCAAAGTGTCAATTTTGAGGTTTCCACCCCCAAATTTTAGAAAAAAAGTACTCCGAGTACGGATGGTTGCCACTTGCGAAGGGAGAAACATAGACTGCGCATATCGGCATATGACAAGACGTGGGACCCATGAGAATTAAAAACTCCCCTT